TCTAATTTAAATACTGCCCATCTTATTCTCAGTTAAAAGCATTTAAAAAACACATATAAAATATGCAGGTAGTCTTCGACTTACAACCACAATTGAGCCTAAAATTTCTGTTGCTAAATGAGACATCTGTTAAGTGAGTTTTGTCCCATTTTACAACCTTTCTGGCCACAGTTGTTAAGTGAATCACCACAATTGTTAAGTTGGTAACACAGGTGTTAAGTGAATCTGGCTTCCCCATTGACTTTGCTTGTCAGAAGGTCCCAAAAGGGGAATCCCATGACCTTAGGACACTGCAACCATCATAAAGATGAGTCAGTTGTCACGTGTCTGAATTTTGATCATGTGACCATAGGGATGCTGGAATGGTTGTAAATGTGAAAAAATGGTCATAGGTCACTTTTTTCAGTGCCCTTGTAACTTTGAACGGTCCCTAAAGGAAGTGCTGTAAGTCAAGGGCCACCTGTACTACACCAAAAAAATAGGAGCAAGTTCAAGAAACAAAGACAGAATTAATTAAAAGTTAAAACGTGGGGTGATTGTCTTCAAGGTGCTAACTACCCTTGGGTTACATGCCCTGACCCAGGTTACCTTCTGATCTTTGCTACCTTCCAAAGGCAACTGAAGATAGAACAGATTCCTCTAAAGAGCATAATACTTGGTTTTGGGACTTTTGAGCTGAGGTTTTTTATTATTGTTTTAAATGGATTGTGTATATTTTGGTAGTTTGTAAAATTGCTGAGAATCCTTCAGGCGTACAGGAACAAAATCTATATTTGAGAAAAATAAAATTATCTAACATATTAAAAACAGGAAAATACTAATGAACCTCTGATAGGTTGTTGGTTAAGAAATCAGATGGGTCTTCCTTGGAACAACATTCCAAAGTTTAATGCAGCTTACTCCTTTGTCCTTACTCATTTTCTGCATTTTGTATTATTTGTATTACTTTATTTCAGGTCTTTACATCTAAGACACAATAAAACTTGGCACACAAAAGAAGGCTTCCAAAGATGATCTCAGTGGGAGAAAATAATCCTTCAATTACCTTGATCCTAAACTGTTCAGGATTTTAAATTACCTGCAATAAAACAAAGTGGGAGCGAGCCATTGTAGGATTTCAGCAGGGATGTTACAAGCACCTATCACAGTCCATATTAATAAGTGGGCAACTCCATTCTGGACCAAGTGCTCCAATCTTAACTGCAGTTAAGCAGCACCTTTGTACTTCCAGTCTTCAGCTATCTGTCAATATAGACAGTTTGAGAAGAAGGGTGAAAGAATATTGATTGGGGAAACAATTAAATCAGTATTAGAAAATACAGCCATCCATGCTATATTGAGTATAACCCCAGAAGAGTAAACACCTGTCTCTATTACTGTATTTACTTTATCAGTATACTACATACTGAGAAGAGCTCCAGAGAATTGAGAGCAGTAGATTTGGTGTCTTCCTTTCCTCATATATTCCAAATAACAAGCTTGTTTTCAAGTTAACCTCAAGTGGTTTCAAAGTTAGCAATACATTTCTTATTCTCTTGGTTCTCAAGTCACTACCTTGCTATTAATTATATTACCCTTGTGTCCTTGGTTTTGGACTTATCGGTCCAGCGGCTTAAAAGAATAGTGATTGCTTCATAAACAACAGACATATTTCTCTCCTCAAAAGGTCTGATCTCATCCTGGACATTTAAAAGACTCAGGTATGAACTTCACAGTAGTCCAGCAAAGTCTCAGGTTAGCACTTTTAGATTTCTAAGTACTAAAATATAAAAATAGATGCAAGCATAAAAAGTATATTTTTATAGAGCCAAATTATATTTCAAAATTAATTTTGCTTTTCTTTGCACTTCCAGAATTTATGCAGGTAGACAAGCTAAAATCACACAATATTGTTTTTTTTCTCTCTCTCTCTTGTCCTTGTAATAATCCTTGTGTTAAGGAAAACCAGCACAATTTGGCATTTCTTGTCAACATTATACACAAATATCTGGCTCAATGTATCTAGTTCCAAACCAGAGACCACGCATTTACACTGACAAGTACATTACTACATATTCTGGTAAAATATCTTACTTGCATGTACGTAAAAAGAACACTTTTTATGGTTATGATTCAATACTTCAATTTTTATATACACTAGCTGTATTGTTCATAATAAAATGAGAAAAACATTGTTGAATCCCACTTTCTCTCTGGGAGTGCTGAATCTCATAGCATCTGAAAGAAGACCTACTTGGCTTAAGGAAGAAGACATTTTTAATAAGGAAATGATTATCCCATGGTCTACAGCTCCTGTACTATCCTAAAATCATGCCAGCAACATTCAAAATGAAATGACCAATTTCTCTTTGGGATGTTTAATGCAATGGAATTAGAGTTGAAATGTATATGCTAACCCAAAGGTAGGGAACTAGGAGCCCCTTTATGACTTTATTATATGCTGGCTCAGGAATTTTAGGAGTTGAAGTCCATAAGTAAAGGGGCCATAGTTCCCCACCCCTGTGCTAACCCAACCTCTGTAATGATAAAATCACATCACCAGAAGCTTCACTTGGCTAAAAAAAAATTCTAGGATGAAAAAGTTTGACCACCCTCAATTTACTGGTGGTAGAGACATGCGCTGACTGCAAAAGTTAGATTACAGTTCAGAAAACAACACAATTTTCCTCTGAATATTGAGAGGCTCTCCCCAATCAGATCAGAGTCGATGTTCAAATTTTGACTCAGAAATTCTCGTTTCTCTTTGTGGTTTTGAAGACGCATTGATTTGCCAATCAGACTAGACATTATTATGTTACATAATCCAGATAATTATTTTGTGTACTCTGACTAAGCCTTGACTAGGATTTCGATTTATTAGGTAGAACTGTTTTTCATCATCTGATTCACATTTTAACTTGACATGCCGAGGATTAAAATTGGACCTGTCCCACATGATGATATATATTGAAACATAAACCTTTATTTCAAAAATATAGCACTCCACACACACATATTGTCCATACATACATACTGTCCGTGTCAATAGTCCAGTGAAGTTATTTCAAAAAAGAACAATAAAATCCCATGGCTATTATGCTAAATATTTTTAAGTTAAAGCTAAAAGAAATGTCTTCTACTTGCCCATTTAATTCTAAAAGAAACCACAGAATAATATATGAGGATTTATCAAAGATTCCAAAACTGCATCATCAGCATTGTAGTACTCAGTCACTTTAGAAACCAAGAACAAAAAAAACTGAGTTAAAGACTCGGTAATGCTGGGCATTAACTTAACAGTTCCAGTGACTTAAACAAAAACTTCTGTTGTAGATAAACCTCCGCAACTAACTTTAGATCCTGTGTCCTTCAATACAAACAAAAACATTTCAAAACATTGTGGTTTTAAAGTTAGTATTAAAGTTCTACAAACATCTAAGGTTTACCACTGTTCATATGAGTAACTATTAAGTATCTGCAGTGACTCCCACCTCATACAAAAATAATAAATATAAACTAGAGAGAAAGCCAAAAGAAAAGCCTTTTATATTTACAGAACTAATACTGTTTACAGTTCTACAAAGATCCTAAAGAGAGAATTTGACAGTACTGTTGAGCCATCAGCTTATCAAATTCAAAATATTGGAAATTAAATATTACAGGCAAAGATTTTTAATGAAATAGATTTAGACACAAAGATGCTAAATAGAGTGTGTTTATCTTCTTGTAACTTAAATTCTTTATTTTATATCCATACTTCTGAAGTAACTAAGGGGACAATTAAGGTGTAGGGGGCTTTTATTTTACTGCCTGTTTTTATTACTGCTTTATAATTGGTTTTATTGTTGTGAGACACAGAGTTGCTTAACTTGGAAACCTATAGAAATATTTTATAAATATATAAAAATAAAAATAAATAACAAGAGCATTGAACTTGAGGTATTTTTATGTGATATGCTTTCAGTGCTATCCTTTCCTCAGATTTCTCAGTGTTAAACAAACCCACTTCCTTCAGTTTCTCCTCATGAAACTTAATTTTAATCTTCAATTATCCACATTACTAGGGGTGTACGGAATGCTTATTGTGAACTGTTTCAAGCTTGAAATTTCACAAAGCATCCTCTTTTAAGTGCAATTTAGGCTGTTCTTAGTGAGTTGTTCCAGGCATTTGGGGAAGCTTTTGAACTCAAAACAGAGGCACCCCCAATGGAAAAGTCACAAGCTCAAAATGCTTCCAAATGCTCAAGGCAGCCTGTTTTGTTCTCAAAGGACAGCTTTTGACTCAGAGAAAGATGTTTAATGACATTTGGTGCTCAAGACATTTTGAAATGAAAACATTTTGCGCACTCCTATTTGTTGCCCTTCTATGAAATTGTTTCCCTGATGAATCATTGTTGAAGTGTGGTGCCCAGTACTGAACACAAGATTTGAGATTAGGTCTGACAAATGCACAATAAATTAAAAGCATCATTTGCTGTGATTTCAATTGCATCTAAAATGGTATATATGTAGACATATCACATTGGTGATTCATCTGCAGATTGTCAGGACAATTTCAAGATCCAAATAGTTGTATTTTTTTCCAACTCTTACTTTATAAATGGAAACAGATATCACAGTACTAATTTTGCAAATTTAAAATCAGAACTGCTGACAAAAGCTATTTAAGACAATGGTTCTCTTCAGATACAAACTAAGTCAATGATTTTACATTCTATGATTAAGACTTATTTATGTCTACCCTCTTTCCCTTATATGTTCTAATTCTATAAAGTTATTTCTCTTATACTGCGTACCAAAGTCATGAGATAAATCCAAACTATATACTTATTCTCCAAAAGCAATTTGCAAGCTAACCATACAGATAATAAGCCTGTTAAGAGACAAATGTGAAATTTCTCATTTAAAAAAATAATATAGAAAAAAGGAAGGTTTGTATTTTAATAAAAGTTCATTTTTAATATGTAAATTTCTTGTATGAATTTCTTTTCAAACACAGATGAAATAATTTTGTTACTTACGATAATCTCTATGAATTTCATCTATTTCATTCTCTGTTTGGTGCTTTGTAAATACCATATTCTGCAACAATAACACAAAGAATATTTTTAAAGATTAATAGATGAAAGATCTAAACCTGCAGCTGAAAGATTTTAAAACATAATTATCTTGGAACTGAAAAATACTTTTTTGCCCATCAATACTGTTTTAGCATTTAATTTTTAGATGCTTATTTTAAGGATAGGTCTTTTTTTAAAAAATTCATGGAAAATTGATGACGCATACCCGTTATTATGTGCAAAACCCCAAAGCTGCTGCTACATAATCTCAAAGTGATTTGAGTTGTCTTCGGAACAGCAAATTTATACCCTGGAATCTGTATTTTTGTCTGCAAGGAAAACCTTTTATAGACTCTTCAGAGGATTATTCAAAAGGGGGCGGGGGGGACCCAATCCATGCTACTGAAGATGATTTCATCCATTCCACCACACTACAAGTTTCATAACTGATTGCTGAATGCAGACAAAATCTGTTCAATAGGTTCCACAGGATCATCCTTTTTCCACTTTCCTTCTTAAGCAGTAACAGTGGCACACAGCCTCAAAAATATTACATTCAAAACTTTTGAACTTCGTTGAGATCAGCTGCAACATGATGTTGCAAAAAAAAAACCACCTTTAAAAGAATAAATAGTAATACAGGATTTATGAATGCTATAACAGCCTCATTTCCATATTTAACCTCATCGGATTATATTAAAACAAACTGAAAAATCATTCCCCAATTTCTCCAAGAATGTTATCTCACCCCAAAATGTTCAATGGGCCATACATTGCCCAAAAGACTAAATCATGGCTCTTGACATAGAAACAATATGCCAGGCTTTTCAGATTTCTAATACAGTACTGCATATTTCAAGAATATAAATGGGATTGTTGTAGGGTAAGTGAGAACTGACATACTAGGGATCCATGTGCCCCAACAGCTATAGACTATATATAGCTATCTATATGACAACAGTACAATTGTGAAACCATTTGGGATAGGGACACTTAGAGTATATGCATTTAACAAAGAGGTCACAAAGTGCAAGATTTATTTGGAAAATATCAGTCATGGAGAAATGGGGGATAGTCAAGATAGACTAATTGCTAAATACTGTTTTATAAAAAGTGAACTTAATCCTCCAGTTGGTCTACCATCCTGATATAAGGCCAAAGAAAAATGCAAATTAGTGGTGTTTCACTTTGTATTATGCTAAATACATCATCACCATCGTAATTTTAAAAATCAGATTAGGAAGAAAGTTTAGCAGATACTAAATTACCCATTTCTGCTATAAAAGCTAGCTGTTTAGACATTAGTAGTTTACACTTAATAAACTTTCTAAACATCAGGAGAAAGATTAGGCTAGAATTCTAAAATACAAGTACAAAATACACAGATGAAGTGAATATTCATTCATTTATTTATTCATTTTCAAGGTAAGTTTCTAAACTTTCTTGCCGTGCAATTTTTTTTTTTTTCAAACTGCAACTGGTATCTGCATGAGCACATCAATGGAATCAGCAGCAATTTGATAGTTGGTTAAAATTTCCCTTTTTAGGAAGGTCAACTATATATAAGCCTTTTTGTTTTATTTCCTGCTCTTTTGCATTTATATGTTTAAATAAATGGTTCTACTATTTTGCACAATGTAAAACTCTGTGGTAAATGGACAGAACATAAATGCTTTAAATGAAAAAAAAAACCTCAAATCTTTAATATGGTGGTGGCAATTAAATAGATGAAAACTGTTTATCTATTGGATGGTTTCTGACATTACTTCCCATCAATATAAACTTTAAGGATGGGCATACAATGCACATTTACTTGGCCTTTGCAGTGAAATTTCAAAAGTCAACTTTTGGCGGGGAGATGATTCAACAGGCATATGAACAGAAAATAACAGAGGCACAGATATATCAAGCAAAAGAGACACATGTATAACAAATATCTATCTACTGACTTCAGAACAGGCACTACAATGTGGCATGGTTCTTGTGCACAAGGCACAAGATGTCTTGAGCAAAATAAAAGAGACTCCAAATGCAATCTTCACTCAAGCTTGAGTTAAGCAGATCATACTTCTGTTCAAAGTTATGATTATCACAAGGTTGATCAGATTTTGCATCAAAATGATCCCCATATCTACCCACATGTATCTACTAATTTAGCACCATTAAGCAAAAAAACAAAAAATCCACTGTGGTTTTCTAATAGGTAGAATAATGAATTTATATTTATCTTCACCAGGACTGAAATTAAAGGTTATTAACTTACATCTTCTTTAGGTTTACTGGCATCAAGTTGTGCTTGAGTCTTTTCAATATTTTCCAATTCTTTCACTATTTCCGCAACTGTTAGAATAAACAAACACTGTTAATAGCAATCTAGCACTCCGGTACCTGTGACTATTTCTCAGAATAAAATATTTTGAAGAGCACTCAATATTTTCAGTTGTTATGTAAAAACTGGAATTGGTGAGTTTTTTTAATGATTTGTAAATGGAGTTAAAAGCCGAAGAGATATAGAGAAAAAGTTATGGTAAAACTAATAATTAACTAAGGGAGGGAAGATTAGTTCAGTGGAAACGGGTGAAAGAGGTAATTATTAGGAAAGGTTTCTTCTGTTCTTAAGTAAAATAACTGTAAATGAATCCTGTGAGATTTCTCCAGAAATCCTTGAGGGGGTAATGATTCTGAGCTTCAAACTTTTCTCTCGATAATCAATACAGTATTTTATTACAAGATCCAAAAAGAATGATATTCCAGAAGACAGATGGATAGACAGACAGATCTCCAAAACTATTTATCTCCAAGACGATCAGCAGTTGAAAGGCTAAGAGACTTGAGCACTGAAGTGTGCTGAGAGAGCTATGAACATTACCAGTGCACGTTTTGTGGAATACCAACTTTTCTCCAAACAACACTCTCAATTTCTTGGCCACTGTGATCAATACATCTCTAACTGGACATCATATTAGAGGCATTTTTCAGACTGTACATCTTGAAGATTTGGACAAACTGCTTGGAAGCTTGACACACAGCATACATGCCTTTGATCCTTCTAAAATCTGTCAGGGCTTGATGGACCTTGTAAGTGATTAATATTCTGAGGAGTAGCAGGGTGTCTGTGTTTCTCTTGGCTATGTGACAACAATGCTGATTATTTAGATTTGGTTTCAGATCCAAATGCACAATCCCATTAATATTATAGGAGTACAATAGTGTGAACAACTGGTATTAAGAACTACTGGTCATCCTTTTTGTAACTTACCGTATTTATCGGCGTATAACACGCACTTTTTCCCCCTGAAAATAGGGGGCAAATGATGTATGCGTGTTTACGCCGATGTCCAGGGAGCGGAATCCTCTTTAAGGGATCCCGTTCCCAATAGTGCCTAGCGGCGGCGCAGCATCGTGACGTGATGTCAGCGCTGCGCCCGCCGCATATTTTTTTCCTGAAATTTCCCTCTTAAAGGGAATGCGTGTTATACGCCTGTGCGTGTTATACGCCGATAAATACGGTATCTTCTATTAGTTTTCCTTGAGCTATTAGAACTTTTAGAACTAGCATGGTAATTTAATAATAATAATTATAACAATTTATCATATTTATATGCTGCCTGACTGATTTAGGTTGCAATGACACAGGAGCAGTACAATGTTATGCAATTTGGTATTATTATGGACTGCTAAGAACAATAATCCAGAAAGTAGCTCTCGTCAATATATGGATAGCTTTCAGCAAAAAAAAAGGAAGAACATTGATTCAATTATTCATGGTTTCACCATATCTAGTCTGAACCCCATCTTTACTGCCTTTTCATTTCTGAATGACACATTGCCAATTAATAGCAAGTCAGATCATACTATACTAATTATACTGGTTGTCAAAGTGACTCTGAATCCCGCCTTCATTTGTACCAACCTGCTGACACTGAGATCAGTATTAAAGGTTTACATGTGCAATTGTGCATCCACTGCTACGAACAATTAGGAGTCTGTTTTTCATTGGCCACTTAGTTGTAAAACAGTGGATATCTATCATATTTCATCAACATAAGCTTTTCCTTCAATCCTAAAGACTCAACTGTTTATCAGAACCAGTTAATGATTTAGGACTACATTTTATCTATTTTATTTATTTATTTGTTTGTTTATTAAATTTGTACAGATGATCATCTGTCAGGTGCAAGGAATCAAAATGACATTGTGAGCTGATCAATGTTCTCCTAAGAATGGCTAGATAGGGTTTCAGGGGTTCTGGGGGAGATAAGAACAGTGTCACTTCCAGCTATACAAGGATTCTAAGCTTGGTCCATTCTTCACACTTTTCCCCATTCTAGCTGCAATTCTACCATACATTTCCCCAAAAGCAACTTTGAGTGGTACATAAACAATCACATAAAAACCACTGATATAATGTAAAAAATACAGATATCTACATTAAGAAATGAATAAAATAAAATAAACAAATATTGTGTAGGCTAGTGCAGTCTCATTTTAACATTATCAATATTCATATATTTACCATTATATTACACTATTTTATAGTTTCACTTTTATTGTAGACCACTTTGGAAAATCCCTTCTACATGGCAGTTTAAAAATATTTTAAATATATTTGTAAGATAACAAGCTTCTTGTAAACCTTTGATTCCTGCATTAAAAGTTGCTGGAGTGGCCACTGGAAAATCCAGTCTGACAGACTAATATTTTCTACAAAACAGTTTCTTGAATGATTGCATGATGGATATATTTCAGAATAACAACAAGGACAATTATGACACTGTATATTAACTATGGAATAGTAAGGTGTAACCCTGAAAGTTCACTGAAAACAAGACAAAGATTATTTAGTTTCATTTGTTGTATTTATGTATAATGGCAGAGGAGTAAGATCAGCAACAGCGAGAATTTATAAACACCTCCACCTCCACAAGTTCCATTGAGTACAGTGAAAATTAATGCAGGAAAATATGAACAGGATTATAGTTTAATTCGGCAAGTTGAGTTTTATACTGAATCCATTCAGACTCTTTGAGTTGGCATCCACAGAATGCCCTATTTCAAGGTTCTTGGGTTTGGTTACACTGAATTCCATATGCCACTTTTTATTTAACTGTTTGTGTTTTTTTTTTTTTATATAAATTTTTATTATTTTTTTAACATAAAAAACACAACAACAAAACATAAAAGTATCAGCTCCCCCATATTTTTGTACACACCGTAAGTCGGTTGGTCCATCGGTTTTGTGCATTCACCTCATAGTCACAATTACAGTTACTTTATATAATACTCTTATCAATACAAATTTATAAATCCTAGTATCTCTATTAAAGAAAAAAAAAAAAAAATTTGACTAAACTTTTATTCGGTCATGCCTTTATGAGATAACTATATTTTAAATATTTTATTCTAAAACAAATCTTATAATCATACCAATTCTATCCCAAATATGAAAAAGAAAGAAACAAAGAAAACTATTATATAAATATAGTATCAAAAACCAATAAAAGGAAAGGGAAAATAAAGTCATTATTATTCCTTATTATCTAACTTTTATATTTTAATATTTCATCATTCAACCATTGATAGAAAAGATCCCAAACTAAATAAAATTGTTTATCTTCTTGCTCTCTAATTTCAAAAGTCAATCTACTCATCTCAGCACATTCCAAAATTTTCTTTACAACTTCTTCTTGCAATGGAATTTTCTCATTTTTCCAATTTTTTGCAAATACAATCCTAGCAGCAGTCAATACATTTACAATCAAATATTTCAACTCTTTACTATAAGTATCTGGTAGTATTCCCAATAGAAAAAACTCCGGTTTCAAGTCTATATGCTTCTTTGTCATTTTTTCCAGCCACATGTGGATTTTAGTCCAATATTTTCTAGCATCCTCACAAGTCCACCACATGTGATAGTATGAACCAGGTTTCTGATGACATTTCCAGCATTTTTCGGATTTGTTCTTAAACATTCTTGCTATCCTTGTCGGGGGAAAATGCCACCTGTAAAACATCTTATACAAGTTTTCTTTATAGGCTGTAGACATTGTCATTTTATAATTTTGCGACCATAATTTCTGCCATTTCTCTAAATCAATCCCATATCCAAAATTCCTCCCCCACGCAATCATAGTTTCTTTAACTTGTTCTTCCTCAAGCTTAATTTGCAATAAATAACCATACAATTTTTTAATCACCTTTTCATCAGTACCCATCAAAATCTTATCCAAGTCAGTTTGCTTATCATAAAATCCCTCTGCTTTGGAATCCTCATAGTACTTTGAATATATTTGCAAATATGAAAACCAATTCATCCGTATACCTTGTTCTTCCAATTTTTGCATCGATTTAAGTTCACCCTTTTCATCTAATAATTCCCCATAGTTAACTGTTTGTTCCTTTTTATAGATTATAGGATAAGAAAACGCTTCTATCGTCGATAACCAAACTGGAATTTTCAAATAACACTGTTTTTTTATCTTCTCCCAATTCAACCACAGAGACTCCCGTATATAATGCCTTCTAAAATACCCCTGTGTTTTAGTTCCCTTGTACCATAAAAAAGCATGCCAGCCCAACAACAAATCATGACCTTCTAATGTCAACAATCTGGTTTTCCTTAATGTTATCCATTCTTTAACCCACGTCAAGTTTGCAGCTTGGTAGTACAACTCCCAATTAGGCAGTCCAAACCCTCCTCTAAATCTAGCATCCTGTAAAAGCTTTAACTTTATTCTTGCTTTCTTACCTTGCCATATATACTTCAAAACAATTTTATTTAAATCCTCAAAATATTCTTTTCCAAGCCTAATTGGTATTGTTTGAAACAAAAATAAGACTCTGGGTAAAATGTTCATCTTAATTGTTGAAATCCTTCCTATTAATGACAATTGTAAGTTCTCCCATTTTTTCAAGTCTTGAGCTATCTGTTGTTTAAGTTTAATATAATTATTCTCCTTCAATGTACTACATCTTGATGTCAAATATATCCCCAGATACTTAACCTTGTTTGTAACTTGAATTTTTAACAGTTCTGCCAACTCTTCCCTTTGTTTCAACAACATATTCTTTGACAAAATCTTTGTTTTATCTCTATTTATTTTCAAACCAGCCACCTCCCCATAGACCTCTATCTTTTCCAACAGTTTCGAGGCTGTTTCTATAGGGTCTTCCAAGATAAAGACTAGGTCATCTGCAAAGGCTTGTAGTTTAAATTCTTCCTTTTTAATTTTCATTCCTTTTATAGTTTTATCTTCTCTGATATTTCTATTCAGCACTTCCAAAGTCAATACAAATATCAAGGGAGAAAGAGGACAACCTTGTCTTGTGCCTTTTCTTATATTAATAGGATCTGTAAATTCTCCCTCCATCATTACCTTAGCTGTTTGTTCATTATAAATTGCTTCTATTGCCTGAATAAATCTTCTAGCAAAGCCCATCTGTTCCATTAAAAGTAACATAAATCTCCAATTCACGTTATCAAATGCCTTTTGAGCATCTAAAAATATCAAAGCCATTTGCTTTTCAGGATGTGCCTCATAGTATTCCAGGGTGTCCAGAATTACTCTCATATTGTCTCTGATTTGTCGCTTTGGCAAAAACCCATTTTGGTCTGGGTGGATAAAGTTATTCAAGTACTTTTTAAGTCTTTCTGCTAATATTGAAGCAAAAATTTTATAATCTGCATTTAGTAAAGAAATCGGTCTATAATTCTTGATTTGCAGTAGGTCCGCCTCCTCTTTTGGAATAAGTGTAATGTAAGCCTCTGACCATGTTTTAGGTATCATCTTTTTTAACATAACTTCATTCATAACTTCTAACAGTGGAATACACAGTGATTCTTGAAAGATTTTATAAAATTCTACAGGAAACCCGTCTGGACCTGGTGCCTTTCCATTATTTTGTTTCTTAAGTGCTTGACTTAACTCCATCATTGTTATATTACTTTCTAGCATTTCTTCAATCTCTTTAGGTATCTTAGGTAGATTTGCATTCTGTAGGTATTGTTTAACTTTCTCCTCATCAATGTCTTCTTTCTTATACAAATGCTTATAAAAATCATAAATAATCTCTTTTTTTTCTTTGCTGCCATAACAAATTTTACCTTGGTCGTCTATTAACTGCGGTATTTTCCTCGACTCTTTCTCCTTTCTCAATTTGTATGCTAGCCATCTACCTGGCTTATTTGCATCCTCAAAATAATTCTGTTTAGCATTCCTAATTTTCTGTGCCAGTTCTTCTTTCTCTATTAAATCCATTTTATGTTTAGTTATATCCAGTTTCATTTTAACATCTTTTCTGTGTGGCATTTTCTGTAATTCTTTTTCAAGTCCCTTATATTCATCATCCAAGGCTTTAAGAGTTCGCCTTTTCAACTGTTTGTGTTTTAACTGAAATATATCTAGTTCGGTATTCACAAAACACTGAGGAAAATAAAAAAGCAAGCTTTTACTGTGTAAGTTTTAAGGGGTGTGATATGAGAGTATAATGAAAATCATTTGTATTTCAAAATCTACACACTACTACAGTCGCATTAATATTGCCGGTTCCAGGTTTGTATATACTACTAGACAACCTGTGCCCCATTGGGTCATTGTTTTAGAGACCTTAGCTTAAGCATATTAAGCAGCATACTGTCCCCTCTTTGTAGAAACAAGGGAGCTGTGGTACTCCACAATCCATCCAAACACAGCATAAACCTTTTCCTACTATCCACACATGTAGTTTCAAACCTGAAGTGAACCTGGCTGAGGCCATCTTGGAGGCTTCAGGGTTGCCACAAAACAGAGGAGGGGGGGAATAGCTAGATCTGGTTTTGTAGCCAATAGTTTCCTGTGGGAACCAAGGACATTCACACAGGTATTTGGCCAGAGGAGGAGTGAAGTAACCAAGCAACCAGCCATCGTGATTTGGGGAAAAGGGGAAACTTTTATCTTTTAATTAGGTGAAAGCCGCAGGAAGTTTCAAAGTCAGCTTTCACTAGTTGTGCCAATATGATGTATCCAATAAATTCTTTGAGGAACTTGCCTGCTTCAGAGTTCTGCTTTCTATGGGTGCATTACTGGGAACGCTGACATCAATTATGACAGAGAACTAAAGACACCATCTGATTAGGACCTGGTACTACTTAATTTACTTTGAGAATCCACGTTACTTAACATATAGTCACTAAAGAAGTATGACAAAAGACACATACTAGGAATGGCTAAAGTCCACCCACAGTGGAGCTGACTGTAGCCTCTATGAATATATGACACATACACACCTTATGAATCACGCTAATGTGTGAGAAAGTACTTGTGAACCATCTTTTTCATAAATGATTTCATAAATCATTGTTTAAAGTTGAACTTTTTCCCAAATAGTAATTATTAATATAGCAGGGAAATGCAGCAAATATGTGAAAAAGGCAGATAATGAATACTTATAAAGTTATACATGGTTCTAAATAAGATTTATCTTGTTCATAATGCTAGAATCAAAAAATATCCAATGTATCCAAGCAGTTATTGATTCAGCACAGAGGAACAACGTTTTTTCGCAATAAACAATATAAAACAGTAACAGTTATTAACATAGACAATCTTAAAAGAGGATTAGATAAATTCAGAGATTAAGCCAAACAATGCCTACTAGTCATATTAGCTACACACTATTCTCAATTCTTGTTGCTAGGATACTAAAGCAGGAAGGTATAATTTCATTCATATCCTGCTTTCCAGAGGCCTTTATTTCTCCTTTATGGGCTAGTTAGGCCTTTGGTTTCATCCAGCACAGCTTTTCTTGAGTTTATTGTATATATGATGTTTCTCTAGCTCTTGATAAAATTTTAAAAAATCAAATCACTTAGAACAGACTCTTCTCTTGTTGGCTCTGACTAACTGAAACTGTGAAGCTTAATCACAGTTGTAAGTGGTAAACTGTAAAGTGTCTCCTTTTGCTACAAATACCTGTGCCCTTTGGTCATATTTTTCCCATTGTAACACTAAGTCACACTCAATCTTAGCAAAAAGGATGTCTTTTCTTTTAGCCATAATAGAATAAGTATTTGTCAGAACTGAGTCAGCAATTCCCCCGCTAAGTTCTCTTTAGAGCATCATCACACTTTTAAAGTATGCCTAATAATTACGTCTGCATCTTATACCAATGGAACAGCCATGGAACCATCTACTCCTATTTTTCATATTACCCATTTTCTATTTTGCTTTTGAAATGCTGTGAAAACAGGGCTCTTCAGGTAGATATTCAGAGATGCTGAAGATTTTGCCTCCCCAAAGGTGACATTTCTAGGCCTTCGTGCTATTATGATTAGGCTGTTGATTTTCTATGTTGTAATTTTATGTCATCATAAGCCATTCACTATCTTTTGAAATTGGCAGGCAGAGACTGTACAGCTCCAATGAGAGAAACACAACAAATCAAAAATAAGATACCTGAATATATTTCCACATATGGGAAAGAGATATCTGCAGCAATTAAAAATCAGAAGTGGATTTCACAATACACAGGAGCATCATGTGGGAGGAATTTTAAGTGCTAGACAGTGTAGAGGAGTATGCTAGCCTTGAAAGAGTGCGAGAATAAGTAAACGAACATCCACTTAGCTATGTGAAGGAAATGGAGAAACTCATCCATTGAAATTGAAGATAATCCTGTCTTTATTCCATTTAGCATAAGAAAGTGCAGAAGGAAACTTTTAAGATTTTCTTACTATACCCTGTAACAACAGAATTCTAGCAATTCAGTAGCAATAGAAATAGCTCTTAGTGTTCCATAGTGTTTTACAACCCTCTCTAGGCAGTTTACAATGTCAGGATTATTTACATATTGTTCCCAACAATCTGGGTCCTCATTTTGCCAACCTTGGAAATTTGGATGGCTAAGTCAATCTTGAGCTGGTCAAAATTCAAACTCCAGGCTGTGGCTAGAATTAGCCTGCAATACTGATCCTAACTACTGTTCCACCAGGGCTCCAATATCTGTTTCTTCACCTGTCCTATCTCAAAGGCCTGAATAAACAATGGGGTTTTTTGTGAAATGGCTCCATAACTCCGTTATCACTATATGATTTGCCTAAATACTGTTGATATAGAGTAGTGTTTTTCAACCTTGGCAACATTAAGACATATGGACTTCAATTCCAATGCTGCGTGAGGAATTCTGGAAGCTGACGTGCCTACATCTTCAAGTTCTCAAGGTTGAAAAACACGAATACATAGGCATAAAAGGACTCTAATTAATATGCGCACAAACTGCTAACAATTCAAATCTGTTGCCATGGTCATGTAAACTCAATGTTTTCAATCATGGCAGACTTCATGTACAGAAAGTCTCATATAAAGCATTTGAAAGAGTAATAATAGATTGGCAAGTTAAAGTTATATTAGGTCAAAATGGTAAGTAAAATAAATGTTAGGAAGAAGCATATCTTAAGAAACAGCACTATTTAAAGGAAACCGCTATCTACATTTTATTTTCTTACCTGATTTAGGATTTAGAGAATCACACTCTGAATTATACATGTGGACAAATTCTTGGTGTCTTTTAATAAGCTGTTGTTTTGTTCCATGGGTAGACAATCCATGTTCTTTCAGTCTTTTCCTCAGGTCACGGTCAGAAAGTAAGCTGTAAACTAGTTTCGGCAGTAACTTTCTTTTTTGTCCAGAACTAGAAAGGGAAAAAAACATAAGAGGGAAACATGTAAAAATATTTCCTGTAAGACAAGATAGGGTACAAATAAGCTGATAGAATGTATGTTGCTAGTTCTATTCCAGATATCATGTTTAATGTTATTTTACTTTGACTATATTTATTTATTGTTAACCCTCTGCAACCCCTTGTCATGTCCCATTTCTATCTCCAATATCAACAATATGCTATTTGATTAAATTATTACTTATATCCCATTTTCCTTTCAGAAAGCTTTATTTTCTTATATGCTTATAATAACACTGTGATTTAACTTAAGCCAAAGGGATCAGTCCAGCACTCAGGTAAATATTTTAAAAGCTAATAATCAAATATTTAATGAGGAATGGCACCATTCTGTTATTTTTATAGAGAGCATAAGAAAGTACTTGATCAAACTCATTCAGACTAACATATTTCTCAAAAAAAAGTTCCTGCTTATTTATTTCAAAAAGCATATTCAAAAACGCTAACAAAATATCAACAATCAGCAAGCCACAAAATGGTGTGTCTGTGCGTGTGCGTGCGTGCGTGCTATATATATATATATACACACACATATCCATATACAGACTATTTATTTAGGATTACATACTCCGAATCTGCTAATCAAAACTGACTTTCAGTCACATTCTCTCCTTCTCCCTCTTTAAAATGCAACTTCCATAGTTTGCAGAAAAATATGTGACCTTCACTGCATTCAACAAATAGTTGAATTAGCAGACAGAGTTTTGAACAAGTAATGCAGTTATGGAAACACAAAATTACTCCCATCGATATCTACTTGTGAACCAGATTTCCTGCCAAACAAACTTCAATCATATACTGCTTTATTTATAGGGCCAATCTAACATACCTTCCATATTTTATTAGGAAAATCTACTAAAAAAGGAATTAAAAGAAAGGCTTCAGACTTTTTTAATAAGTATTTAAAAATTATTATATCTATAAATAAACAGGTACTTACTGAAATTATACAATTATTCAATATAACATTAGCTATATTGAAATGTTATTTTCATGATATAAAATATGTATTTTAGCTTAATGACAAAGTCTTCACTATATTATTTAGAAATGTTAAGAAAAGAAAAGCACCACTTTATAATAAATATTTGATTTCTGACTTTCCCCCTTGTACCCCAAAGAATTTGCAGTCCCTATCAGCATAAACTTAGAAACCATAGTCTAGGTGTTGAATTTATCTTGATGCACAATATAAATGGTACCATTTTTGCTTTAATTTAAACTTCTGTCATGTATATGTATATACACTCTTTGTTTCACCATTGCTACATATTCTTCATGTTAAGCTCCCTGTCAGATATTCTTGGTATTATATCTTTTTCCCAGTGTAATACAGTACTATACCTTCAATCTTTAATTCTCAAACAGCTACAAGATGTTTGTTAATATTATCTTAATTATAACCACCTTGGTGTTTGGCAGAGATAGAAAAGGCATCTAAAAGAGTTACGTGATTCCAGAAGGGAATATAAATTCTTCAGTAATATCCTGATAAACAGTAATATTCTGATAATCTCAATAATGCTATCTATCACATATGTTATATTGTAAATAAAATAGGAGATGCGAACCAGTAAATGGAATAGAACAGATTATTATTATTTGCTGGAACTGAATAATCAACTAAGAAAAGAATTCAGCAGAAGACCAGTAGTGCACTCACTTTGCATAAATACATGCTTATAAATTAGAATATACCTCTGGTTTATATATAAGTTTAATATTATTTATGTGTTTTATATTTTTAGTTCAACTAGGATGCATATGTCGATAATCAAAACTGAAGCTTTCTCAAAGAGCAATTCGGAAATTGTGATGGGGGACATTGTAATGGACTATGAGAATAACCTTGGGAGACAGGAAGAAAAGCCTGGACAGCAGCCTGACAAGAGAGAATTGAGTTGAAAGGAAAATGGGGGAGGAAACAGTGTCTTAGAAAAGACCCTCCTTCATTTCTTCAACTGTAATGGAGATGTACTTTCAAACTTGCAAGATTGATCTTGCCCTTGGAGACAGAAAACCAAAACCCATGAGTACTAATACTACTTCTATTGTAAGGTTAAGTAACAGAATCTTGCAAGTTGAAAAGCACTTCCTCCCTCATCTTTACTTTCCAAAGAACTAAGAGTGGTATATTCTGAGATGCTTTCTCTTCCTCCACCCCTCCTTTGGATTCAGTTTTCATTTATCAGACTGTTGCCTAGGCTGTAGCTCTTCTGTCTCCCAAGGTTATTCTCACAGCTCATTATAGACAACACCTGCACTATGATCAAATTCAAACCGAACAGGCTTGTGCTTCTCAACATAGTGCCACACTTTAAAACTATGTTTTCTTCTGCTTTGTCTTAGAATCAATTCCCTACTGAGTGCAGAAATCTAGATTAAATCATCCATTATATTGATGAGCAGCTTCTGCTTCAATAGATTCTAGAATCAGAATCTGCCTTTCTGTAACTTAAATTCATTACTCTGCATCCTAATGTGGTGACATTATCCTTGACCTTCCTTTGGTGATCTCCTTTTAAGTACTCAAATGATGATATAATTCCCCTTCTGAGTTTGTTGAAAATTATGCATATCCAATGAGACCCAGTTTGGTGTACTGATTAAGGCATCAGAATACAAAATGGAAGATCATGGGTTCTACTACTGCCTTAGGAACAAGGCCAGCTAGGTGTCCTTGGCCCAATCACTTTATCTTAGCCCTAGGAAGGAGACAATGGCAAACCACTTTTGAACAACTTTGCCAAGAAAACCACAGGGACTTGTCTAGGAAGTCCCTGAGAATTAGACAGGATTTGGAAGAAAGAAAAGCATGCCACAATTAGCTCAACATCTTGCTGTTGAAATAAATTAGCATATGGTGCCAATGTTACATTATAACTCACCATGGCTAAATCTTTTCTGAAAACAATCCCCTTTAGGTACTGTTTCAAACAATGTGATGCCTAAATAAAAATAATCCATTTGATACCAAACAAGCATATTTCCAGGGGGAAAGCACATTTTACACATATATAAATCATTACACCCACAGATAATCATGAAAATCAACAAATGCTCAAAAACCTGTCAAATTAAAGATGCCAGCAATTATTCAGAGTGATAGGGAGATATCTCTATGGAAATAAAATTACTGACAAACATTTGTCATTATCTTTCTATGACAAAGAGCAAGCTAACAGTAAGTCAGTGAAACTATACATTTCGGATTGCTTAAAAGGCTTTGTATTGTTTTATCATAGACAATACAAAACATAACAGTAAAAAAATGAAACAAAGCAAAAGAATATATTGACCCAATGGTGGGATTCTACAGGTTTTGTCCACCTCTATAGAACCGGTTGCTCTGAAGAGCTGCAAACAGAGAGCATACATAGGATCGGTTCTATGTCTGCTGCTATTTTGGCCCACCCGCCTGCTCAGGCTCTTTATTTCCTGCTTTTTCAACCGCAGCTGCTTTGCACGACACAGCTGCAGTTAAAAAAGCAGGAAAAAAGTGCTTTTTCAACCACTGCGCACCCACGCGCAGCGCTGCTCAGCTATCCAGGCAGCTAGCTGACAATGATATACATGCGCGCACAGCAAAACGTAAAATCACCGAACCGGTAGTTACACCGGTCGTATCCCATCCCTGCATTGACCCTAACAACAAAAAAGAAAAAATAGTGTACAAAAAAGGAGGAAAAAGAGGTCAATTAGATTTATCATTTAACGTTCACCCTGGCTAAGTGCTAAAAGAAAAATAAATAAATTCTCCTCCCCTATACACACACACACACATAAGCACACAAGCAGTGAACAGATTGTGCTAAACCTTACACTAATCTTCAAATCCCTCTGTTAACCATTTGTTATTATATTTAGCGCATAGAAATTCCACAAATGGCTTCCAGTCTCTTATAAAGCTGTCTAGTCCTTTATCTCTAATCAAAGCAGTTAATTTTGCCATCTCTGCTAATTCAGTCAATTTCAACAGTGGCCATGTCTTCTTCTTTCCAGTGTTTGGAAAGTACAATCCTCACAGCCATCACCATATGAAGGAATAGCATCCCAAATTGTTTTTCAATTGACTTATCCATCATATCTAAAAGAAAAGCTTCAGGTTTCATTAATATTTATATTTTTTTTAACTAAAACCAAAGGTTTTAACTAGAGAAGGAAAAAAGAAGGACTCTCAAGTAAGCAAAACAAATATATGTCATATGAGAGTCCTGTCTTCACTTTATTCTAATAAGTATAGAGTACAAGCTTCAATTCAAAGATAAAGAAAGGGTTTTCCTAATATTATTTCAAGCCAGACTTTAAGAAAGAAGTTTAAATAACAGATAATCAGAGTTGGAAGGGACCTTGTAGGTCATCTAGTCCAAACCCCCACCCAAGCGGGAGACCCTACACCATTTCTGACAAATGGCAGTCCAATCTCTTCTAAAAGGTCTCAACTGATGGCGCTTCCACAACTTCCAAGGGCAAGCTGTTCCATTGGTTGATTGTTCTCACTGTCAGAAAGTTTCTCCTTATTTCCAGGTTAAATCTCTCCTTGTTCAGTTTCCATCCATTATTCCTTGTCTGGCCTACAGGTACTTTATAAAATAGCCTGACCACTTCCTCCCTGTGGCAGCCCCTCAAATATTGGAAGACTGCTATCATGTCTCCCCGGTCCTTCTCTTAACTAGACTAGTCAAGCCCAGTTCCTGCAACCGTTCGTTCCATGTTTTAGCCTCCAGTCCCCTAATCATCCTGGTTGCTCTTCTCTGTACTTTTTCTAGAGTCTCAACATCTTTTTTATAATGTGGTGACCAAAACTGGATGCAGTACTCTAGGTGTGGTCTTACTAAGGCTTTAAAGAGTGGTATTAGTACTTCCCTTGATCTTGACTGTATCCCTCTGTTAATACAACTTAGGATTGCATAAGCTTTTTGGCGGCGGCTGCACACTGCTGGCTCATATTT